TGACGCTAGCTTGACATCTCCACGGTATGCCAATTCATCTGTTGACCCGGGCCAAGCAAGTATACCGCCGCCGCCACCTCCACCTTTACGAGGCAAATGTCCACTTACTGCATGTACAACGAGTGATGATACCTTTCAGGACGTCGTGCATGCGAAGCATTTCGCCGATGCGGTGACTGCGCGTACCTGGACCGCTTGGATGGAAGGCAAATGTGTGATTTCGGACTGTTTGGATGACTTGCACTTGCTGACCAATCACTATGTGGATGACGCATCAAAAACGTTACTGAGACTGCCTTCGCGTTCAATGGCTGCGTGGGGTCTTCGCGAATATTTGATTTGCAAGAACAATATACTAATGTTGCGGAAAGATACAGTTCTTCTCCGCGACCAAGTGGCAGCTGCTCTCGTCAATGTTGACGAACAAGAAGAGCAGCGGGTGAAGGAGTTCCAGAAGGTCCTGACCGATTCCTGTCCAGAAGTTTTTGCCACAGAGACTATTTCAGAGTTGCTCGCTGGGAGAATTGTGTCACAGCGTATCGCCGATAGAGGTCAGTCAGTGTGGCGAGCGGCGCTCGGGGAAAACACGGCATTGGAATTCAAGACAGTGCTGCTCGATGCTGCAGCGCAAGGCTTTTCAACCATGTTGACGGCCAAGAAGATGGAACTCAATCATGTCGCAGTATGCGGCAACTGGCCACTACGAATGTAGTTGCGTCTACAGAGACATTTAAACTGCGGAGTTGAGACGGATGGTAAACTGCAGATAGTTTTGGAAAGAGAAAAGGACGAAGTGGCCGGTGTGTACGCAAATTTTTCTGACTTTGAGCACCGATGGTTTCACGCCATTGTTTTTTGAATGAGACCGCTGCTGATTTGACGTTACTTGCTGATTGTCAGCTGGATCCAATCATGTCAACCGCAGCATATCAACATTTGGCATGTGCGCTCTCTGGAAAATAGTTTCACGGTGTCTGTCAAGTCTTTGGAGTGTAAATGTATTGTTGCAATCCAGCCATTGCTTCGTTCAACAATTTGCAATCGGAGGAACACGTTTATGCTTTTCTGGTGCCCCTGGTTGAGGTCTGATGTCTGCAGAGTGAGTTCCTTGCTTAATGACTTACATTTCAATATGACAGCGCTGTTGGCTTTGCAAGCTTTGCTTCAATTGCGTGGAATAGTTGCAAAACGAGCTTTGGAGAAAACGGTCATGTATTATATTGAATTCTTGTTCAGCATTGATGAGTAGACCGACTCCGGACATTGAGTTCACATATTGCCTGTGATAACGTCGTGTAGCAATGATTCAGGCTCTGGAGGGGTCGCTGGATGACTAAGGCGAGAATTGGTGCCATATCGTGGCATGCATAGTGACACGTCAGTGATTGTTGACAGGTTCGTATTGAACCGCTGTGTGCAACATTGCGGCTCGACAGGGAACCCGCAACATGGATTGCCGAATATGTCTAACGCCTCCATACTATAGTGTCACATAGTTTGTCGCAGGTTAATGCCTCCATACTATACGTACTTCATCGGCGTCGAGGTGACATACTGATTCGCCCTGAAGTCTATGCGCACGCGGCCCACCTGACGTACTGAACAGCAGACAGAGATTAGGGCAACATCACAGAATAAAAAAACTTACTTTCTAATTTTGCAACGCCAGGGACCGATGTCGCAACCTTGCCGTGCTTGGCAAGCCGATCCGCATGTGCATGTGACAGCAGACAAAAGAGCTGCTCGTCAGAAGCGCATCGACGGACTGGCGGAACTTTCGGATCAAGAGCGTTCGCACTATTACTTTTTGTATGCAGCAGCAGCTGACTGCGTGGAATGCACAAAGTACTGGCTGCAAAATGGAGCAGACACCACAAGAGGCACCAAACATATGAAGTACACAGCCAAGGAGTGGGCTGAGTGGAAATCAGCATCCCATGTCTTGGACATTCTACTGTCGTGGGAACAAGCAGGTACCGCAGATATTGACGAGGACATGTCTCCTTCTTCAGATACATCTAATGCTCTGTTCCAAGATGCAGTCGATTTTTCCTTCTGGAGGAATGCGATGGCAGGGGATTGGAAGATGACGAAAGAATGGTGCGATGTCAGAGCTATAGTTCCAATGGCGATTGGGTTGGTCAACAGAACCGACAGTCCCGAGCATATGTTTCACTGGGGCGTGCGTCAATACTTGCAGTTCGCGTTGCTTTGCAATGATTCTGCTAGAAAAAAACACGACCTGGAAAGGATCAAGACCATGGTGTGGCAAAGGGAGCAAGAGCAAGTGGGCAAGACGATGCAGTTCGTCAAAGCAATTCATGACGATGGTGATCTTAAGTACACTTCATTGATCAACATTCTGAACGGTGATATGCTTCAAACCGTCTGATGATACTGATGATGCTTCTGGGATTGTTGGTTTCGGATATAGTTGCATTTCCTGGAAACCTATACCGACAGGTAAAACAATGATGTAAAAAAATCATTAACATGTTCGAACATCTAGACTACTGACTGAGAAATTTAATGTGAATGGTTTTGGGAATGGTAATCTTTGGTGCATGGTTGTGTCCCACGTTGCCGAGGACTTGCGCAATGCTGCGACAAAGAAGGTTTGGTCTACTATACTCCGCAATGATGCGGTCGATCCAAACGTCTTCAATGACTTCATTCGGCACGAGGAGTGGTGGACTTATGATTTGTTTGCTCCTGCTGCAGCGTTGCGTCTAGACGTGCCGGATTTCTGTGCTCACTGGATGTTACTGCACTTTGTACTGGCTCAGTCTTGTTGGAGATCCCGCAACAGTGTCTTTGGCGAAGCGTCGGGCACAGCCACGCAACTTGAGTCTGCTGAAGAATGGTTGATTCGAAGTGCTTTCCGCGGACGACATTGTTGGTCTGCGGATATGACAACTTATGTGAATAACGTTATATATCCACACGAACTACCCAAGTGAGGTAGCTGTGGAGCCTTTTTTGTATGTTTGCATGCCCGCTTGCTACTTGAAGCTGCTTGTTGATGTTAGCTGGCGGGCAGAACTACCCAAGTGAGGTAGCTGCGGAACCTTTCCCCAGCAACTGCTGGTGTAGCAGATGTCTTCGCTTTGACTCTTCTTCTAGAATCGGATCGGATGTCCTGCGCTGACCGGTTTGTAGCCTGCAGGCGGCCTGTTTAGCTTGATCAGACTGCTCGGTGTAGCTTTGCCTGGACAGTTCGACAGTGTCTTTGCCAAAATACGTCGCCAGGTAGCGCACCTGCCGCGCACTGCGGTTGACATGATGAGGCTTCTGAATTGCTTCGGTGTGTCTCTGTGCATATTGTATTGGACTTGGTTCGGACGGTTCGACAGTGTCTTTTCAGCTGTTATCATGATGGACATGCTCTTGTTGCAGCTGTATCAGTTCTTACGTGTGAGTTTTCGGCATTAGACGGCAAGCGGAAGTTTTGTCGCATGTGTATTATAGTTTAAGGGCCATATTTACTTTCCAAGAAAGGTTGTCACAGTAGCTGTTCCGCGGAACAATTTTGGAAATCTTCCTGCACTCGAAGCTACTTGCCGATTGTGCTCGGAAGGGTTCAAGACAGCTATAGCTAAACATTCATACTGGATAAATGCTTTCATGTTCACCAAATTGCATAACTTTGCATATAATATCAACTTTGCCTTTCCTTTGTAGTTGAGCCATGGCGCAGAACGTGACTGTGCGGATGTTCCTCATCTCAGAGATTCCTTGTCTGCGTTGGAGAAGCAAGAAGGAAAACCACACCAGGAAAAAAAAGTTCGAAAAGGCGTATGAGATCGAAGTCACTTTCGAAGATGGCACAGTTGTAAAGGATGTCATGGATTACCTGGACTCTGGGGCAGCGCGAGACTGCTACAAACTTCGTGAATTACCGATGGTGTTGAAATGGTTCCACGAGACGACTGACGCAAGGTATGCTTCCTTGCATCCAGGAGAGTTGCAAGGTTACAGAGAAGCTTCTGGATCTCCCATGGCGCGCTATCTGCCAGCAGTGTATGCGACGCGCAAACAACATGTTCAAGACACGCACCAGTATCGAACCGAAGTTGATTGTCTGCTATCGGAGTTTGTCGGAAAGACCTTGCGGCAAGTGTTGGCCCGAGGTAACCTGACAACTGCAGACGTCAGAAAGCTGTTTGTGCAGTTGCTTGTCGCGGCCAGTGCGTTTGCAAGTGCTGACATCAGTTGGGGTCACGATTTTCATTCTGGCAATATCTGCTATCAGACAACTCGAAAGGTTTGGATGCTGGTCGATCTCGAAAGCATGGAAAAGTTTCCAGGGCTGAAAACTACCGAAGTGAACAAAGCCGGCAAACGGTTACGCGATGACCTGAGAAATGAGACTGGCCTTGCCTTTCAAGAGTTGAAAAGCTGCTTGGAGAACTTCATGATCATCCAAACTGCTGGCCAGAACCAGTTCGATGGAATTAATGTTGCTCCAATTGCTGGCATGTTGAACGTGGACTTGGACTCCTTGGAGGCGAGACGGGCAATGCTTTGAGAACAATTGCGGTCAAGAATTGGGAATGCTCCTGGTCAGGTGGAAGCTATGGAAGCACCACAGATTAAGGCATGGTGTTGTGATCGTGCGTGCTTTGACGCACTGGTCTTTTCTTGCTACCTCAGGCCAGAACCTCACAACCAAAGAGCTTGGCTCCTGAGGCGCCAAGGTTATGCATTCCGGCGCTTGCGTTGTGTTTCTCTGCTGTTGATCGAACCAGGCTTTCGCTCCATTTCAAACTTCCAGCGCTGCTGTGACGTGCTGAGGTTTTTTGAGTTTGTATACTATTGCTGTAAATATGTAACTTCTATGATCATCTGCGCATCAGGCTTCTACACCGTGGTATGCACCCACTCCAGTAAGACACCTAGTTGGTACTGTCTGCTTCATCTTCTTTACACTAAGGACACAAATATTTTCCCAGCACTTCAGGTACAGACACCGACAGCGCCTCCACCGTCAGGTCCATCACAGGTGCGTTGTAGGAATTTTTGATTCCAGAGCGATGCAATTAACAAAAGTCATGTTTTTTTTCAATATCTATCACTATTTACCAGGCTGAAAAAAAGAAAAGGAAAAGCAGAAGAGGAAAGCAGTCCAATGCCGAAAGCCTGAATCCCATAGGTTCAACAGTTGAATCTCTGGTATTCAGGCTTTCGGCATTGGACTGCTTTCCTCTTCTGCTTTTCCTTTTCTTTTGTCAGCCTGGTTGAAAGGCGGACTCGACGGCGCAGATGAAGGTGAACACTGCTCATGTCACTTGACTTGCTGTGGGTTATTGAAATCACTTTGAGTTGTGCGGTGCAGTTATGTCATGCGAGGGACTCCTGGAAGCTTGCCTTCTGCATTGTGCCGCTTGTACCTAGTCTTCTCTCCTGTTGACCGAACCAGGCTTTGGCTTCGTTTCAGACTTCCAGCTTTGCTGTGACGTGCTGAGTGTTTTTTTCCGTTTTTATACCGTTGTTCAAAAAAAAAAGCAACTTCAATGATCATCTGCGCATCAGGCTTCTACACCGTGGTATGCGACCAATCCAGTAAGACACCTAGTTGGTACTGTCTGCTTCATCTTCTTTACACTAAGGACACAAATGCTTTGCCAGCACTTCAGGTACAGACACCGACAGCGCCTCCACCGTCAGGTCCAGCACAGGTGCGTTGTAGGCATTTTCGATTCCAGAGCGTTGCAATTAACAAAAAAGCAAAAATTTCTTTGCGATATCTATCGCAATTTACCAGGCAGAAAAAAGAAAAGGAAGAGGAGAAGAAGGAGGCAGTCCAATGCCGAAAGCCCGAACCCCAGAGGTTCAACTGATAATATCAAAGAAGCAGAGTCCAGTTTTGAAAGGTGGACTCGACGGCACAGATGGAGGTGGACAATGCTCATGGTAAAGAATATTAAAATCACTTTAAGTTATGCCGTGCAGTTATGATGTTGCCGGTCTGTGCCAGGAACGGAAAAGCGACCGCAGACATGTGCCGCTGCCGAACTTGGCGAAGATTCCAGTGACTGGCAACGAAGAAGTTGAAAAGGTGGGGTCGTTTCGAATATGCGTTAAATCAAATCATATACAGTATTGGGAATGTTAGGCAGACCAACAGTTTGTTTTCATTCGGATGTGTTTGTTTTCATGCCGATCAGAGACGAAGACTTGCAGGACGATGCCGAAATCTTTGTGAAGAGTGGAGATGCTGCAGTGTTAAGAGACAAACGGAATATTGAAGGATTGCGTCTGGACCAGTTGCAGCCTGCGAGCGAGTTGGTGCATTCCACGTGGGAAAGCGAGCTGCGGAGTATGGCGCAGCTGTTAGCTGTGGACATTCCGTCCGCTTTGCAAGAGGCACAAGTCGTCGTTGAACTACGAACTGCACACGATTCTGACGTATGCGGGCACGGCGGACCTCTGATCTCCGGACAAGTTTTGTGTTCCCTTTTTGATGCTGGGCTCAATCCGACGCCTGCTGCCTATATGGACCTGCAAAACTTTTTGGCTGACAACCCTTTGCCACACAGATGGCGTCTCTGTTCTGTCTGTAGGAAACACACTTGGAGCGCAAAGGGTATGACTCCTGCAGCACTACACAGTGTCAAGGAAGAAGGTGGACGCATGGATCGCTGGGCCCGTCTATCGACGGAATTCAATGTCTCAATGCCTTTGGTTGCTGTCAGCAATCTGAATCATTGGCATTTTTTTCGCACTGAGGCTGGAGAAAGGGTGTTTGCTCCGCCAAAGCATCAAAGCGTGCCTCGTGCCGCACATGAGGCACGCGGCGATGGATATTCCCAACGAGAGACCAAATGCGATCAATTGCCACCTTGGCAGTATCATGCCTACTATTGGATGATGGCTTTCCTCTACGAAGAGCTCCTTAAGATATACAAAACGCAGTTCCCCGAAAAGGCACCGCCACAGAGGAACAAGTTTGCAAGCAGAAATGCTATGAACGTGGCACAGAGTGATTGGGCAACAAATGTACGAAATGCGTTCTCCGCAAATTTTCAAAAAGTAACTCAGCCAGTTGACCTTGCGCAGAACCTCGCGCACTATCTGAGGAGCAAAGCGCCCCCGAACCATAAGAATTGCTGGGGATTTAACGGTTTGATGTGGCAGCATGTTGGTGCCATTTCGACCGTGTGCGCTTGTACAGTACATACCTTCGCGACATTCGTGTCAGAGTTGGCAATTTTTCAACCGTCGCAGCAAGTATGAACCTGAGAGAAGCTATCAATATAGGTTTGCAACAAGGTGATATGAACAAGGTTATGAATATATCATTTTGCATGCTTTCTCGGGTGCTTGAAGCTACTTGCTGATCAAACCTGGGCAGGCGTTTTACGTAAAAAGGTGAATGCTTGAAGCTACTTGCTGCTGACATCTGGAGACAGCTAATACTCTTTCAAGACTTTGTTTGCCAGTCGCGTTGTAAACCTGTACATTTGTATTTTAGTCCGCAGCAAAAAAAAAAAATGTCAATGAAAAAAACAAACGGAAGAAAAAGGACCGAATAACAAAAAAAGAATCTGCTACAAATAACATGAAACAAATGTCATGCGTGTGCTGCGAGGCGAATGCGGGCCTATGAGACGGTGCACTCCGATCTGCTCCTGTGCTGACCTTAGCAAATTATGCAGCTGCTCAAAGTGCCATGTCGTCTTAAGAACACCTGGAATTAGCATGGATAGAGGCTCAAGATGGATACAGGTCATCGTCTATTTGTCATGGAGCCGTATGACGACGCAATGTCCATGGCGTGTGCTTCCTTGCGAGGAGAGATTGAGAGATGCTCGAAAATACCGAAGGAGGATCAACCAGCACTCGACAAGCTATTGGCCGAACATGAGTATCATTTCGGTGATATCTCAGACTGGCCCAATGATATCTGTGAGATATCTCCCACAAAAACGGTGCCTCTAGAGAAGCCTGAAATTTATTTTCTCGGAAGTTTAGCCGCATGTGCTCATCTCGGAACTCATCAGGCAGAGACGCCATTGATTTCTCACAGAGTTTCTGTTACGTTGAGCTTTTGCCGAGCAGAGATGCAACGCATTCGTGGACAACCAGAAATG